TGCTACATTGGTAATTACATACGAAATGTTATTAGCTTTGTTTGCAAATAGAAGAATTGAGTATGAACAATGTAATGAATATGCCTAAATAAAAAAAACAACAATTTGTAAGTAGGATTTGAAGATGACGTACAATACGCGTCGTTGGAGAAGAGAGCGGAATATTTAGAAGCAATTTTCGCTCATGTCAATTTCAAAAAGACAAATTTTACAAAAGATAGAAGTTAATTATGGTCAATGGAGAATAAACAGTTTTGTTTCCTTTGTTTATTTTTTATTGATCGTAACTAATTTTGTAAAGGAAGAGACAAACATAAACTGAACCAAGTTTTTCAACACGTATGTAGACGACATTTTATAATTTACTTATGACGCATAATACATGTTTTTTTAAGAAGTTGTTTGTGAAGTAACTCTCTAGATTTTGGTAAGTCGCCCTGCAATTGCCGTTATACAACCTACTTTGTATATTGTTCTTTATGTTTATTGTTAATAATATTGGTCTTTTCTTGAATATGTTTGTAATTGATTCACAGAACATTGAAGATGTGATCGGTTGACAAACATGAAAGGTTTGCTATTCATGAAAGGAAAGCGATAAAAAAGCATTCACAATCCTTTCAACTCAAAAATCAACTAGTTCATCAATATTTAAAATATAATATTCACGAGACGAGTCAACTACTTCGATAATTAAATTCTCTAAAATCAAAAAAGCATAAAATTAAGAAAGTTTCGAATAGGGAGGGATAATTATGCAATTATGGGTTGAGCACAAATTATATACAGTTTTCGCGCATACCCGCACAAAAAAGTGCTACGCATTATTAAATTCAGTGAAGCGAAACGTGTTCCAATAATTGCTCACACAGTTTGCTCTCTACAGCTAAAATTCTGCTTGTCATTGCTATTTATCAATTACACAGTTTGGTATAATTATTTCTCCAAATATAATAGCATGCCTAATTTCCATAAATAAAGTTAACGTAACTAGCCGTACTAGTTAATTTCCCTGTCGCGTAGATGTCCCCTGATGCGAAGATATGAGAAACGACATCAGTTTGAACAGGCCAATGAGCACCAGGACTTTTTACTCATCAGTGATCACTCTTTATATCACTCCACTATTTATACAGAACAATGTCTATGATGCCAAGTAAGCTAGTATGTGTGTTTTGGTGTCTCGAAAAATGTTCAATCAATCAATATTATTCTGATGTATCACAATAAAAGGAAACAAAAATTCTGTTCAACCAATAATTACATCAGAGAGTTTTTTCTTGTTTTCTGCCGTTAAGACCAGTAGTGTGGTGCCTTTGCAACGACACTGATCAGGAGGTCCTAGGGTTCGATGTTGGCGGATTTTTGACATAGCTTATTCGAATTCAGCCGCCGTGCCCTGACTGGAGGAGAATTCTAGCGACCGGCTGCTCTGATCGGTAGATTTCTGTGGTTTCTCCGATCAATTCCAGGCGAATGCCGGTGTAGTACTCTAACAAAAACGAGCTTCGAATTCTGCGCAATCCTTCCTTTCTCTTTCTTATCCAATCCTGTCCTCCTACACACTCAGGCACTACTCTACCATGTAAGTGGAGAAGTCATTCGGGAACTTAAAGAGTTTGTTCCGGCTGGGGCAACGCTCCGCTGTGATACCTGTAGAGGGAAATCCCTCGCAAGCCGACATGTAGGTCGGTGCGGGATTTCAACATTGAGCGAAAAAGGACACCACATCACTTCCAGAGATAAAGACATTCACTGCGTTAACGGGACTAACGACCAATAACAGTTGACGCGCACGGAAACACGAGAGTCTCTTGTTTTTATTTTATTTCTTGTTACGTGCATTCAGTTGTTGTTCTAGTTACATTCAAGTTATATTATAGTTGGGGGAGATGATATGCTCATTAAAACACATGAAATGTAGTTAAGATTATTATTTTCTTGTTTATGTTTCTTCAAATTAGTCAGACTGTACTTTGGTCTTTCAATTAAAGACCACAGTACAGTCTAACATGAAATGTTGATTCATTTTTTTCGACAAAGTGTGTGTTTTGTTTTTGTACGTGTACATGGTGTGTAATACGGTGGATTATTAAATACAATCACTGATTTCTTTGGAATTGCATTTTTGACGAGTCTTATGGAACCAAGAATTCACATCTCTGGGACCTTAATAAATCTAATTTCTCTCATTGAAAAAAAACAGTGTAGACATATAACCTTAAGAATTATGGAGTGATAAACTAATTGACTCTCAATAGTCAAAGTGAGTCCATTTCGCAAATCAAATAATGTGGGGGTGGTTGGGTAAATATAATAAACATTTTTTAAACTTTTGCAGACACAAATCTGTCCCCTTAACATCAAATATTTGCGAATAAAGGGATATTTCTAGTTTGGAATATCATTCTCAATCAAAAACAGAAATTTCAATTAGAACTTGAAAACAGTACATGTGTACTAAAATTACTTAGCAAAATAACTTTGCGCATCGTCTTAGATTGAATGTGTTCTTACTTGTTCTTTGGATAAGAACAATAAGGTCATTCGTACCCTAACAACCCTGCGTGTTGGGTTTTTAGACTCGAGGTGAAAAATTCAAGGTGCTACTTCTTTGAGCGACCTGCGTGACAAAGATTGGTGCGGTACTTTACGAAATATTGGTTTCACGCAACCCTTTTGAAGTTGAATCAAGGATACCGAAATTTTGTGTAAGGGTGGATAAAGTATTAAAACTCAGATATAATTCATGAGTTGCTGTAATAATACCACATGAGAAACAAAGTCTTAAGATAAATGAATTTAATATTCACAGGCGATAAATGGTCTTTTAACACCCTTTTTTAACCGTTTGATGACGGAGAAAACATTGCAAATAGAATTGGGACGAGTTAAATAAATACTGCTAATATAAAATAAACACAACAAACGTTTTACTGCAACTTTTAAGGATTAAATTAACAAATTCCAGTAAATTATCTTGAATTGTTCAAGTAACTAATAAGAAAGAAAGAACTTTATCTTTTCACGGGTAACACATTAGCACGTTCCCATTTGTTTTCTCACACGAATGCACCTACCATTTAATTATGTGTTGTTCAGTACTCATTATTGATAGAATTTCTTGATTGAGAACCATATTATACATTTGAAACCACATTCATTACTTTATTTTCAGTTAGAAATATTTGTAAGAAACTCAAGGCATCATACCTTAAGAAAAGAAAATACTCATGTTATTTATATTTTGTGGAGGCATAACCACTATTTCAATTGAAAATTCTACGTGAGCTAGGGCAAAAATTTCACGAAATTAAATTAACTATAGAATTACTATAATCTTAAAAGTGAAAAGGAAACAAGAGATAGATGAAGAATGACGGAATGAAGTCATGACAAACACGAGATCAATGAGGGTGCAAACACAATCAGCTAAGTATACAAGAATGTGAGGGAATGGGACAATGAAAACTTGGTTAGAATATTAAATAACGGAGACGGATAACGAAAGAGAATTGAGAAAGAATTAAAGAAACCAGCCGAAAAGCGAATATATAATTAACAAGAGAAATCAACATCATAGAGTCACTCCTTAAATTATTCAGCTCTAATTCTGGGAACAGAGAATCCACGAATCAAACGATTGAGATTAATGTGTAATTAACGCTTCTGTTCCCGATTTCCGAGAACTCGGAGGACTGAGTTCAAGTCACGAAAGACGACAGACGAAATTCGTAGAATCTCGGGCGGAGATATCCTAATTTATTAGAGTCCTACTTCTAGACTTCCACAAATTACGATGGATGAGGTAGATAAATTTGGAATTGTATACTATATAGAAATAGAAATTATTTCTCCATGAAAATCATGAATAAAAATTTATAAAAATGTGACATCTTTCATGAGTTTAAGATAAATCAAGGAAGTTTCAGGTTTGGAAAGCGCAGGATGTCGGTAGGAATTCCATTAATCTGAGCAGATCAAGATTTGCTAATGCTGCATAGGCATTGAAGGTTTTCGAACGCAAGCAGAATACGAAATGAACTTTTTATTTAGAGTATCTCGGCATACGTTGATCCATTTTAGAATACGATGAATCACACTGAAAGGACAGTCAATTTTCTAATTGAATAAAAAAAAGGCGGTGCTGGCACAATAGCAATGTATACAGAAAACTTATGTAGTAAGAATAGGGAGGAGCAGAGGAATTGAATCAACCGCCTGGACAATTTCTGCAGAATGTGAAACATCCCCGCAGGTCTCTCAGAAAGACGTAACAAATGTTTCGGAGGGGGAATGTCGAGAATAAAGTAGAATGTAAAATAAACTGTAGCCTGCAAAGTTCAGAATTTATGAAGCGAAGGGCTTAGTGTGATGTCGCTAGAGTGTTAAAGGTGTAAAATGCAGATTGTGAACCTCAAGGGTGAGGCAAAGCACAAACAGAAACTCAAAGGGACTGAAAGAGCAAAGGGCAGTGCGCAGAAAGATGAGAGAAACAGTTGAGATCCTTTGAATGCAGAGTTGTGGAGAAAAGTATAGTGTTAAGATCATACCATCATATCATCTTGTATGTACTTCGTAGGTTTGTAGCACATGAAACATCGAGGGGCATACAATGAGGGGCAGAGTACCACGTGAAGGAGTGTAAGTTTTGTATAGGACAGGTGTATCTCAAGGATGCAGGGATGTGAAGTCCAGAGATTCATGTTTTGTGTCATGAAGTCTAGACGAGACAGAGATGTAGAATTGGAAGGGAAGGAGTAGGGAAAAATAGATAAAAAATGTGGTACCGACCCACAATTGTGGGGAAAATGTTGGAAGATATCATGGGCTGGAAAAGGAGGAAGAGTGGGTAAACTATGAGAAAAGGATGGCGAAAGAAGGGATAAAGAGTTAAAAAGGGAGAAATAAGACGGGTCACACGAGCGTGAGAAGGGGGCGTGAGCGGGGTAAGGGTGGGTACAGGGCGAGAGTGGAGTGAGCGAGTGATGCAGCCTCACCTGGAAGTGTGCCAGGTGCTCGGGGTCGTTGAGCGCCAGGAACTGCGTCTGTGACGTCACCGGCACCCCGGACAGGTACTCGTACGTGTCGTTCTTGCGCTGCAATAACCATAACAACAACCATAACAACATGCTCGACGGCTTCAAACGTCCAAACAACAGCACTTGCGCAAGGGATTCTGTAATTAATGTTCATCAAATATGACATTTAATTAACACATTTAAGCGCTCTCCCACACATACATACATACATACATTCATCACGCAAACTTTAATGTAACGAAGTACAGATTGCGTAACTCCCTCGTAGTAAGTCTTGTACAATTTTTTACTGTTTTTTTCACGTTAAATAAATAAACGTACAAAATATGGCAGCCATATGAAAATCTCTTACGACAAAAAGATGTATTAATAACTACACACAAACAATTATTAACACAAACACCAACTTTCAGTCGTAATGTATGAAGAACGTAAAGGCTACACTAGCCTAGAGAAATGAAAATGTTTTAAAATATCACGTGAAACTTTTGCATTGGCGTAAGTTTAAATCATAGATGCCAATTGCAAAAGAAAGTTGCGAAACCACATCGACGTATATATTTGGACAAAATAAGATCTAATGTAACAAATCACGTAAAAGCTACGCCCGACAGAACTCAGTAATATTATCCATTGGAAACGCTCGCTTTCCTCCATCAATGCGCTTCTGTATTGTTCACCACTCTATCAATTCTCGGTTTAATGCACTCGCGAGTTTCGATATTGGAAAATCAAAAGAGATTGGTGAAGCGCAACAAAGCATGAAGATTGCCAACAGAAATGAGATAATAATATTGAGGATGGAACCGGGGTACATATCGAATAGCCAAAACGTGGATCGTTCCTGGGTTAGAGTGAACTGAAAGATAAAGAAAAGGAAAAGAGAATAAACAACGAGAGGAAAAAGAACGAACTTAGATGTCGTAAAGGGGGTAGAAAGCAATACAAAGGGAGAAGAGCAGATATTAGAGGGTGAAATCGCGTTACCAACGTAACGGATTGTCAACCGTGCCTATGCCGGTCAACGCTTTTGACGCAGGGGTCTGCAAAACAAGAACTCCTGCCTAAACTTCACAGTCTATTTTAAACTCCCCATCGTCATCACACGACATAAAAAAGAGGGGATTTAAATATTTTTTTATTTGTATGGTGCACATTTAGGGTTTTCGTAACTCACACCTAATTTCATTTATTACAGATTCCTATTTACCATTTTATGTCGTAAACACTTGTATAGTTTACGAACACAGATAATATTCTCCTTTAAGCATATTTTTATCGCATAGACATACACGTAGCAAGTTGCAAAGCCTGTGATATTCACAACGTTTTTGCATGTATTGTAGAGAAGCGTGTTTTATCTATGAACCAGATGATACATTGTTTTAACACACATTTATGTTGACCTCCGTGATCGTGCGAATGAGAGAATAAACGGGTCGCTTGTACAAGGATGAATAAAATACTCTTATTTTAAATCGTGAAGTTGAGAACAGAACTTTGTTTTCGGCCCAGAAGCTGCAAGCTCTGAGGATGATCGCTACGTGATCGAAATGACAAAATATTTATTTATTTATCATCGTTAAGTTGATTCTTTACCAAAATATTGAACTCTGAGAAATCCATGTGTGGTCACATTGGATTCCAAACCAAAAGCGGTTGCGAAGTGCAGGTATTGAAATGCCGTGAATATTCAAATTACAATGTAAATGTGATCAGTTATAATGAAAACAAATAAAAATAACTATTAATTTTAAAACCTCTATATCTAACATTTTTCCTTTTTTGGGAATTTTGGACGCTTTCTTCCCGGAAGTCCGCATTGTAACTTATGTCTCCGCAAGAGCAGGGAATGTGTCTGAAAGTCTTTCGCATTCATTACGATGATGTATTTTGACGTTTAGGCGAAGTCACTGGATGATTGTTGGCAAACATGTCGGGTTGTTACTGAGAAGTGAAGCACCTTGACGGTTCAATTACTTTGGTTGGGCAAATGCCTCAAGGCAACGTATACAAGGTTCTAGATTGCGACAAGAATATACATAACTTTATTCTAATAGTTACAATATTATTTAGTTAAAATGTATCCGTTTTTTGCCAGTATTACAGTTGAGTGGTTTCGCTGGCTTTGATCACTTGTCTTCATACCCGTACTAGAATGCAATGATTCGCGCAACAATTGGAAATGTTGCTTGTGTCCAGTATAGTAAACAAGATAAAAACAAGATGAGAGTACATGTAATCGAAATATTGAAGACTATTACAACTGTTTTTCACGGTACGTTTCAATCAAATTTTTGGCCCAATAATCAATTAAAAATGACAATGTGATGCGATGTGCGTATTGTACGACATTTGAAGTTGAATATCGTATGGTATTTCACTTCCCCGCGAGTTCGTTTCTACTTGTAAAGTTTTGTGATGATTTTTGTTGCGATATTTGCGTTTTTTGATGTGAATGGTTCAGCATTGATTTTGATAGTACAACACTACCGTCAGCAATATAAACATCATACAAATCACGAAGTTGCAAAAGTAGGTATGTAACGGCATCGCCAAAAATTGAGTTGTTGCAAGGTGCAAGCGGGCACGCTTTGGTCAAATTGTACGAATTTGATGCAAAAGAATGAAGGATGTTTAATTTTTCCATACAAAAAAGGGCGAAGTTCAGGAAAAATTTGATGGGAATTGTATCGAGTGTTAAACGCATCATTCAGACTACTGTCTATTCCACTCCCGAGCTATAGAGGGATTAGTCTAAGAAGGGAGCGCTTTGACTACTGGTAACAACTGCAGGTTATGTTCACGCGCTTAATTCGTCAATCCCTTTGTTTACAGTTAGCTCACTTGTAAATAGCTTCGACACTAAATCTTCCCATCTCCTCGTCCGACATGTCATTCATCGGTTTCCAGACAGGCAGGTTGGTCCTTTCTTAGAGTAACTTCTCGGTTCCATTGTGCAAAACTTCGTAATAGCGTTTCTTATGCGTGAGATACTAACTGAATAGAATGGGTCTCAGAAGTGCAGTGCTAATGGTAAAAGATGAAGACAAAAGACATTAAAGGGCGCGAAATCAATACTTAATCTCCTTTCCCAGATGCATGCTCCGACGTTTCCTGGAATCAATAGCCAGAGCGGCTCAGTTGACCTGACCTCAGCTGGCCTTCCATGGTCCAATTTCGAGAGTGACCACCTGAGGTTTAACAGGATTAAGAAAGCAATAAATACAATTGTAGTCGTAAAAATATGTTAAATGCCATACATACAAACCCATTCTTTTTATCTTACGATACATAGAGTGGAAAATTAAGTATATCAAGGTTGGCTCACACAGGAAAAAAATACCTTTCATGTAATGAATGATTGAGCAATGCAATCAAGAAAATCAATAGGGATCCTGAAATATTACCAAAGAAGTCATTTACAATCGTAAAATGACGTTTTAAAGACATTCCTTATCTCTCATGCCAGTTGATTCTTCTGTGGATTGAGATCATACCCAAGGACATTGGAATCTCAGAGGTACTCATAAAGGATGTGAGCGGTGCATATCAGCAGTACGATCTTTTGAAGTAAGTATACTAGACGCAAGGCCTACAGTACTAAGATAATTCGTCAGGTATCTGGAAGTAGTCCTTAAAATTTTAATTACTGCTGGGACAACCAGGATCTACGGTATCCATCAACTATCTGAATATCACGATATTTCTTTATTTTTTCGAGTTCCTTCTGATCTACTCTAATCGGAGAATGTACTAGGTGGGATGTGAACACTATTCGTATCTCCATGTGTTGTTATTATTATTATTATTATTATTATTATTATTATTATTATCGTTATAGTCTTCAACCATCCACTCATTCATCCATCCATCCATCAGAGCATGGAATATCCTATGAGGTAAACAACATAATAGGTCCCTTGCAAAAGACAAGAACAAAGGCTTTATAACAGTATGATTTAAATTTCCGATCCACCAGCAGCAGATCTGAGTCAGTCCGTTCCCAAACCGCCCCGGCCGACCCGCGCGTTCGGAGCTTTCGCATATTCCGTGTAAGGGGTCGTAAAGACCGGATGCCAAACGTAGCGGGCGGGCGCGGGCTTTGGCCAGCCCTGCCCTCCGCCCCGCGCACACGTGTAACGTCGTGGAGGAGGGGAGCGGAGGGCCATTAGTACCCGGGGCAGCCGCGCGCCCCTCCGACGTCTTCTACATAACTCAGTCGTGTTTATGAACTTTTTAAATTCATCGTACGGCATAAATTGTTACTGTGAGTGAACTTTTATATCGCTGGAAATCAAGCTACCGACTGCTACGCCCTGCTCTCTGCGTGGAAACAGTGGGGAGATCGTATGTGTTTGTACGAGTAGTAAACAATGTGTATGTGTAATTTGTGTGTACGTGTGTGTGTTGTACCGTCAAAGAAGAATCCTAATTTGAAAAAAATAATTTAATTTTTTTGTGTCATTCTGTCATGAAAGTATAAAGGAGAAGAGGACTTTTAGAATTCGACAATGCTCATTAAATTTTTTTTAAATACAGAAAACCTTTTACATTTTACTTTGTAAAATTAAAATAATGTTATAAAAAAGTTATTTAATTTTTTAGTGTAATAGAATAAATATAAAGGGACGTGCATCTAGAGAACTAGCCAAATGTGTCTGTTGCCTTCATTAGACACGTGATCGGGATTTTACATGCTGTTTGTAAAAACTCTCTGCCAGCAAATATTCATATTTATTTTATGATAAGTGTGTAATTCTCAACTTTTGTTGATTTATGCATCTAATACGCAACTTGTAAAACATTATCATGCATATTTAAAATTCTTGGAAACACGGTTTTATTCGGTTTTCTCTATACCAAGTGAATATAGTCACCTCTATATTCAAAATGTAGTAAATGTACTTGAAACATGGTTTGCGTCCGGGAGGTTCTGAGTGCAATTCAATGCCCCTGAGCGAGGTAGATTCGTCACCAACAGTTGAGGAGATGACGTCCATTTCACGCTTGCCTCCATTCTTGGGTCGTATGTTCATACGTACGCATTGCCCAAA